TTGTTAAAAAAACAATGATAATTTTGTATTTCAGAACGGTAATATTTGCAATGGAAGGCATTGGCGTGGTAATGCCTGTTGAAAATGCCATGAAAAAGCCTCAACACTTCCTTGGGTGCCCCAGTGTGCTGGTCATAGCCATGACTGCTATAATGCTGCTGTACGGATCTCTAGGACTGTTCGGATATTTCAAGTACGGAGATGTGCTTAGAGGTTCGATCACTTTGAACCTACCCGTCGATGACTGGTTAGTATTTAATTATGATCCTAGGTTGACCTTTAAAAAGCTTTTTGTCTACCTAATCACAACTTTTTAATTAAAATAGACTCTCCCTCTGATAAGCGTAAAATCTCAATCACTATCACACTTCGATGCTTCATTTTATGAGGTAGAATGAATGAAATTTTTTTAATTAGTTAACAAAAATAAATTATGATTACCTAAAATACAGATATTTTTTGGTACCTACATAGGTATGTACCATACCTACTGTAACTTTAATAGTAATTTTTCAGGCCAGCAATTTGTGCAAAATGCTTCATAGCGCTGTCGATACTGTTTACGTATCCCCTTCACTTCTTTGTGGTGATAGACATCATCACAAGGTGCACCAAACCATACATCAAAGAGGAACATCAGAACATCATACAAGTTATTGCAAGAACGGCAATCGTCATTTTTTGCGGTAAGATGAGATTTTACTCGTATAACTTCGTTCGTTCGTTCGTTCGTTTCAGCCGAAAGACGTCCACTGCTGGACAAAGGCCTCCCCCAAGGATTTCCACAAAGACCGGTCCTGCGCCGCTTGCATCCAGGTACTTCCCGCGACCTTCACCAGATCGTCGGTCCACCTAGTGGGAGGCCTGCCCACGCTACGTCTTCCAGCTCGTGGTCGCCACTCAAGAACTTTCCTGCCCCAGCGTATAACTTACTTTTGGTAAATTATAAAGATCATAAAACCCAGGACTGATACTGAAAACTCTAAAACCTGAAGGCATAGCAGTATAGTAATGTATGAAGGTGAAGCTTTACAAAGCACAGCCGTCAGTCTGAATAAACCAGCGATTGCAGCACATGAATTCCGACACGGGGATCATACGTATGACTTTTCCTATTGGCCCACATGATAGAAGGAAGGCAATTTGAGTGTAACTACTCAATACCTATTATGATTAGGCACCTAACAGGATTCTTATGCTAAGGAAACCCAAGTCTGTATTGGTTTGATAGCCAATTTTCCGAAATGAATAATTCCATTCATGGTGCTCTTAAGAAACTCTTTGCTTAGCCAATGTTTTCGAAATGTATGTACTCAGGAAGTTATCTATGCGCAGACCACCGATTTTTAGTCGGCCGATAGTTGGGCCCGATTCTAATTTTTATGAAGAATCAATCGGTGTAATGTGCGCACTTCCATCCATACATGCCCATACTGATTAACTGCCCGACTCTACTACGGGTCGACAAAAAATCGGTGGTGGTGGCGCCTAGGCTAAATTGACGAGATTAGATGCTATTGTAATGTAGAAAATAAAAAGACCCATACGATCCCCGTGAGAAGCAAGATATTTAACATAATATACTCTATAAGTATCAACGTATGTCTAAAATTGTATTGTCTCCGACGGAATTGAAGCCGTGACCCCATTGTCAAATCGTTTACTAACTACTGAGCCAAGGACGCAGAACGATGAACCGTACCGAAAATATACCAAGCGAAAATAAATTTACTATCTTTTTCGTCATAACAAATTATTTTTTAAATGTCTATCCGCTGGGCGTGTTTTGAAATAATTGGAGACTTGTAACAGTTGCTGTTTTAAACATAGTTACCTACTACTGAAAGTTATTCTGGACATTATAATTTTCTGGCTACTTTCTTTTTATAAGACATCATTCCTCACAACCAAAATAAAATGCCTGCTAAGCTTGCATGCTTTTGTTTCCTAGATCAAAATCAGACCACCAATATTTATACAAATCACTACAATTTAAAGTTATTTATTGATACAGATATAATAAATAATTGCCTTAGGGAAAAACCTCAAGATTATAAAGTAAATCAAGTATTTAATTACCAGCATTTTATTCATAAATACAACAATATCTTAAATGTTCATGCGTTACAGGTGGAATTGGCATTGCATTGCCAATGTTGGAGCAAATCATCAACTTGGTTGGTGCTCTTTTCTACTCCATCCTCGGGCTCATCATTCCTGGAGTCATCGAGACGGTGTTCCTGTGGGAAAACCTGGGAAAGTACAACTGGATTCTCTGGAAAAACATCTGTATCGTTCTATTTGGGCTACTGGCCTTGGTGTCAGGGTGCACTGTTACCATTATGGACATTATTGAAAAGTTGAATGTGAAAACTGAATGAAATGTGTTTTAAGCAATAGTAATAGAATTTTAGATAAGAAACTTCGAAGATATGAACACTTTATTTATAAGTCCATTCTACTATAATGCCTTGGTTAATAAAAAAAATTAGAAATCCAACATAGGTTTTAATTAATCCATTGTTCACACAGTCTGATTTCTCTATTGAGAAAAAAAAAGTCTTAATATAGCACACAATTTAAAAGGTTGTATTGCAGAAATTATTTTTCCACAAATTATTTTTAGCAGAACGAGCACTCTTTATTATCTTGGATTAGAACTGAAACTGACCTTTCCACCTGAAAGTGCCAATTTTATTTCCAAGTAAAAACTTTTTCATGCAACAAAAACTTCAGTAAAACTGATCAATTTATTGATGGATCAATTAAAATTAATGTGTAATTCTGTAAATCCAGGTATTCAGACCTTTGGAAGTACTTTCCGTATAGCACGTTAGATTTAAACACGTGGCTTCATTCATTGACTCCTGATTCACTCGTGCGCAGCGCCGCCAAGTGCGCAGTTGCTAAATAGAGCTGGCAAAATTTGTTATGAAATTAATATAATTTGTTACATCAGTTAAATCGGCATTTAGTAGATTATGCTATTTCAACTAGCTCTGCCAATTTAACGGCTTAACACTGCACTGATAGAGGTATTTTTAAAATACGTCCTTAAAAAAAACTAATGATTATACAGTTCCATTGAAAAACACTTTAGTTAATTGGAGTTTTCCAAGTGGAAAATGTTTGTTTTTAAACTCTTATTACATATTTAAAAATAAATAACGCAGACTAATACTAATTACATGTGAAGAAAACAATGTCATTTGGCATACAGTTTGCTCCAGTATGCGTAGGTTGTTAGTTAAAAATAAAGGCGCTAGGGTAATTAGCGAAACCATTGCTTTCCAAGCGAGAGAAATACTTTCCAACTATTACCTTTTTCACAAAACGTAGTTGTCAACATATATTTTTCAGGGGGCACAATAGCACACCGTAAATAAACAACAAACAAACAACGGTAACAACCTTCTCATATCATAGCAGGAAGGCGCTGGATGCAGGCCGCTACCAACCGTGCGATGTGGAAGTCATTGGGGAAGGCCTATGTTCAGCAGTGGACGTCCTGTGGCTGAAATGAAGATGATGAATCTTCTTATATCGTTTCTGTGTATTTTAACGCTTTTAATGTGAAATATCACAGTGATAATATCAAACTTGAACTACGAGTATATTTGTCACTTTCAATATTTATATTATAATCTCTATCCTTCGTACAGTGCTACTGAATTGTCTCTACATTCGCTGTATATTATTAATTCATCACTACGAATATCTTTGGTACAAAACAGTTCTTACGGTGAGACACAGATAACATAATATGTATTGTGCGTGCAGCTCTAGTAAGTTCCTTTTTCTGTCTCATGTTTATATTTATTTAAACCTATTGTTATTTAACTGACTTCTTTTAAAAACCTATTTACATATTCAAGGTCTCTATGAGCTCTCGGTATGAGCTAGAAGATAGGCATCGTTTAGTTTCTATAGGCTGCCGTATCGTCTATATTAAATTGCTAATAAGCTCTACAATTGTGAAGGGAATTGGTGAATTAACAATTTTCTGATTAAGATTAGGATTATTAGGAATCGTAATAATAGTTTAAAATTGGTTATAAAATACAATCGCAAAACGTAAATTATTTTTTATATTATAATTTCAAATTACCTTATAAGGTAGGACGTGGCTCAAGCAACGGAGCAACTTTCGTCAAGGCCCATCAAGCCGAGTAAACATAACATTAGTAACGGTATTTGTATATTCCTTACACGTTTTATTCATGATAAGTTATTGTCTTTTAAGTGTTATTTTATCCTCAAAAAGTTTAAAACTTGTTTCCAATTCCATACAAACGCTACGTTAGGCGCTATTCTCTACTTCAAGTCAATGTTCCCGCTAATTTATGCACAGTGGTGCATAGATAGATATATGAATCAGCAATTCTCATCTTTTTAGGATTCCGTGCCCTATTTTGAAATCACCATACATAAGATTTATGTGGGCAGTCCCCTGTATGAATGCACCAAGCTATATAACCAGTGGTTAGGTGGTTAGTAACCACCAACAGGCAAATATGGCGAGACATCGTGAGGAGAGCAACATCCTTCTACAACAATCCACACTCCTGACGACCACGACCACCATCAAGAGTGTAACGAACTGAGAAAATATAACTCTCAAACAGGATTCGATTTTCGATCGATAAAATGATCTCAACAAACCAGAGAATGACTAATCGACTCAATAAACGGAGCGTCGTTTTATTTATGGCAAACCAATCTCGTGACTCTAGCGAGTTGAATCGTATATTGATAAATTGACAGATCGTTACAGACCGGTTTTTGTACAGTATTAATAAAATTTTCCTTGTTTAACATCTTGAAGATCCGCAAGCGTTTAATAATCTTTTAACTCAGCAATGTGATAAAACTACGTGATTAACTAAGTATTATAAATCCCATGTACACATTCTTTATTCTAGATACCTACCAACATCCACTTACATCATTCTAAATATATCAATGTTAATTTATTTAAACTTTTAGCACACTTATAAACAATGCACTGTAGCTGTGTTTATATGGGAGTTGAGATAAAGGACTACTTCAATCTGCAATAAAGCTAATACGTATCAAAGGTCATGAGTTCATTTAAATTTAGTCGTTACAAAAGTAGAAAGCCATATTAATAATTATGTCAAATTCTTATCTAATTTTGGGAACTAACAATCTTAGCCCTTACGCTCTTCTCGCTGCCAGACTGTAGGTATCACGTGGGAATTTTCTAAACCTATTTATACAGACGCCTACAGTGTCAAGTGTGCCAAATATTCATATTGTTTTGTATTCACTTCAGTAGTTAATTAGGACTTGAGTTACTCTAACGTACGAGTATTAGTAATGAAGTTCCCGTACAATCTCAAAATTGGAAAATATTTTATTCAAAGCTGAACGTAAGTAGGTACATCTGTAAGGCAAAGAAGAGTTAGAGATAGCTTTTCAAAGGATTAAAATAAACAAAACGAATTTAATCTACCTAATGCTCAGCCAATTTTATCACTAGCAACCAATTCTCATGACAACGCGGCGCTATTTGTTTATTTATAGAAGCTACATGCAATGAATGTTGCTACAATAATAAGATTATTGTTTATGTCCAACCTAGCATTCCGTGACGTCTGAAATTAGAAACAGAAAACACAAAATGCGGATATTAGTGCAAAAGATAGAGTTTTCAGATGGATCCATTACGATAGTTTTCCTGTTCGAATTTTACTTGAATGCTTTAAGAAAAGCTCCAACAAACATTTAAACATACACGAAAACCGAAGTGCAGACTGGACATGAATACATTCTACGGGTACTTCTAACCTTCCGCATTTGGGTTTCCTTAGATTTCTCACTTCGACGAATTTTTACAGGTCTTTATTCTTTAGTATATGACTTGTAATTTATATTAAACTTTAATGAGAATGTATTAGTCTCATTATACTCACTGTTATAGCAAGAGAGGGCTACCAGGCATGCAGCGCGGCGATCTGGCTTTTTTAACGCAATCTTTCTCGTGAATACCATATCCCCACACGTAATCGGCTCAAATGAAGCGCATCTACTATGCAAGAAATGTAAGTAAAATGTATTTCATAAAACTGTATCAAAATATTGTGTTATTATTGGAAAGTTTTACAAAACAGTGACTGACAGGCGATTTCCTTCAGGAATAACTTAGCGGCTGAAAGATCACCTAATGGCATAGAAAACCTTTTTAAGCGTGTTTAAATAAACTTAACGTTAATTTCATCGAAATGTGTAGTTTTAGCTTCAAATCTTTTTGCCATAATAGTCGAATAATATGGCTCTTAAAAATATTAATTTCGATACAGTTAAAAAGTAAAGGTAAGTAAATATGACGTTTAAGTAGGTATTTTTTGTATTTTTGGAATAAATAACAGGACACTGCCCACTCTGAATTTATGTTACAATGTTTTACTGAACAAAGTGTACATATTTATAACATTCAATTCCTTAGTATGTGAATTCTAGACATAATTATGTTAATTACTTACATTCATGATCGCCCAGATTAATGTACATATAATTTGTGCCAAAAATACCGCTACATTCAGAGTACAATGTATCTCTATCACCGAACCGATCTCACTTTGAAAGATCTGTATGACGTAGCAACTGTCTAGTTCGAGATCCAATTAGAAAAAGGGAAACGCATTTTATTCATTAACCCCTGGGTTTTTCATTACACGTTTGCGCGGAAACAACATAATTATTACTATTAACCTGAGTAGGTAATCGGAGGAAAATGCTGATGAAATCACTCCGTTGGTTTACCAACATGATTGAATTTGTCTCTGAATCTAAAAAAAATACGTTGGTGACTTGAGTATAAAAAAGAAAATTACGGGGACTTATCCTACCACATTTTCCCACCACTGCAACTCCTGTATAGCCAGGATCTACAGTGAAGGTGCAATAGTATTAATAAGTGACATGAGTAAAAGTGATGAAATTTACGAGTAATTTTCACTGCTTTCAAGATTCGCCAATCTCTCTTCAACTCTACCGTCATTTTGGCAAGAAAACGAATTCATAAATAATAAACAATAGTAGCGAAATTTCATACCAAGCATAACAGACATAAACCCCAGGTTATTAAGCGATCTGGAATACGGGTGCTCATGCCAAAAGCGCATGTCTGTGAGGTATTATACTTAAGTATTTATAAACCTCATCATAGTAATACATAGCCGACCATTGACTGTTGCGACGCGCAGCGCGAAACATGTCGTGCGACTGCGTACATTATAAAACAAATATCGTAAACAAAACATAGCGTCAGTGAGTGGTTAATAAAGTTTCAGCAGGAATTTCAAGACTGTGATAATGTCAAATAGCTACAATATGAAGGAGTTCAGCTCGACGTAAGTTTATTAGTGTATCTTCAGTATTTTGTTATCAAGGATCGCGAATTAAAATCAACTCGTGATCGTCGATAAACTTTCTAATGTTACAGTTCGATACAACTGTAAAATTAAAGAAATTGAA